ACAACTTCTCCGTATCATCGTATGACAAATTTTGTAACCATGTTAGAATTACCTTTTTACAGTCTGCCATTTTTAATGGATATATATACAAAATTGCATTGACTTGATTATACAAAAAAGGGCCGAGAAATGTAAAAAATCTATGCATGAAATAATGCCTTATTCTAATGTTAGTTTCAATTACTTTATCTTTGCGCCTTTTATCAGTGACCTCTCTTCTATAAGGCAATCTTAAGTGCTGTTTTAGTAACATGCTCATAACAAATAACTGGCGCACTGAGAGGACATTATAGGATTTGTATAAGAGGTGGGATGGAAATAGAATAGGGCGGAATGTTGCAACTTTTAATACAGCTCTTTGAGCGCGTTCCAGTGGTAGTAGTGTAGTTTTAGCTGCTCCACCCCAAGAGGTTATACAATAGGTGAGTATTGACTGCGTAACATAATACATACAACATAATGCGTAATATACTTGTTTTACTACCTTATTATCAGCAAAAGAACGAATTTTTTTAAAAACAAACATTAGTTTACGAACTCTATTGCATAGGTGGTTTATGTGGTTTTTAAATGTAAACGTAGAATCTATAATTATTCCAAGGTACTTAACAGTTTTTGTATTAGAAATAACTGGGCAGTAACATTTAGACTCTGTGACTGAGTAACATTGATGTGCATAAAGTTCTGGAATGGTTATATGCTGGGTTGAGCTGCGCATAGAAAAATGAATATATTTGGTTTTGTCCGTATTCAGTGTTAATATGTTTTGTTGGAGCCATTTATTAACTCTATCAAAACCTTGCTGAGCATATGAATAAACCTTGTCAACTGTATTTGCGGAAAAAAGTAGCACGGTATCATCTGCGTAAGATATTATTTTACCTGAGTTAAGTTCAAGATTGCAAAGGTCATTTATATAAATCAAAAATAGGGTTGGCCCTAATACACTTCCTTGAGGTACGCCAAAATGAGTACTTTTTTGTTTAGAGCTAACAACCTTATCGATTTTTATGAATTGATATCGATTTTCTAAATAATTTTTAAAAAGTTGAAGCTGCTTACCTCGAATACCTATGCTCTCTAACTTATTTAATAGGATAGGAATAGAAACCGTATCAAATGCTTTTGCAAGGTCAAGGAAAATGCCAATTGATTGGTTGCCTTTATCTAATTCTTGAGAGACATAATCGGTCATTTCCTGCACAGCATCAGCAGTGGACATTTTAGGCCTGAAACCATATTGCATATTCGATAATATGGATTTACTTTGTAAATAATTCATTAATCTGTTGTTAATTAATTTTTCTAATATTTTAGACGTGGATGAGAGTATTGAGATAGGCCGATAATTGGAAACGTTTTTTTGTCCCCCGATTTGAATACTGGAACTACAATTGCTTTTTTTAAACAATCTGGGAAAATTCCTTCAGAGAGACAAATTCTGAAAATATGGGTTAATGGTGGTACTAGAATTTGTCTATATTTTTTTAATATACTAGTGGGTAATCCGTCCCATCCAACCGCGCTTGTTTCTTTCAGTCCCATTATAATCCTTTCCACCTCACTAGGGTCCGTATCTAATAATGTGAACGAGCTTAATTGGCAGGTTTTTTGAGTTAATAAAGTGGCCCTGTATTCACAATTATTGTTAGAGTTGTTTGTTATCTGCTCAGCCAGATTTTTACCAACGTTCACAAAGTAATTATTTACTGTATTTGCTGATATAAGCGGCGAGGCATTATTTTGTAATAATTCTGACGAAGATTCATGCTGTTTGGAAATAAATGCAATATCTTTTACATGCCGCCAAATCTTTTTATTATCTCTACCCGACTCTTCTAGTAAGTTTGTAAGATAATTATACTTCAACTTTTTTAATAAATTGTTACAAAAATTCCTATATCTTTTATATGAAATTTGTAAAATGGAATTATCTGAAGAGGTCTTTGCCATCAGGTGTAGTTTGTCCCTGTGTTTCATGCACCTAATCAGGCCAGGTGTAATCCAAGGCTTTAAGTTATTATTTTTTTTTAGCTACTGTTCTATACGAAGTATTGCTAGCAATGGCATTTCGTATGTTATTTATTAAGTAAGGCAAAGAGATGTTTACGTCATCGGTTTTATAAACTGGGCTAAAGTCAATGTTTTGAATTGCTTGTTCAAGGTTTTTCGTATTAATTTTAATAATAGAGTACTTACAATTAGGTTTGGATATTTTAAGGCTTAAGTTAAGAATGACGGCACTATGATCGGTTACTATAGGACTGGTGACAAGGGTTATTGATGGTAACCTAGTTTTTAGTAAAGTGTGGTCTAAACAAGAACCACTTAGATGTGTAGGGAGCAAATGTGCTGGAAGCAGGCCCTGGCATGCACATATATTAAGGTAGTCTTTTGCTCCGCCTTCACTGCCTTCTGGGTTAATATCAATATTCATATCACCCGTTAACACTATATTTTTGAACGATGACAGTTTCCTAAGTGTAATGTCTAATGACGTGATAAAATTGGTCTATTTGCTTAAAACCACAAGGTCTGTAAACAGCAAGGATAGCAGTTTCATGACCCACTTTCACCAATAACCTGCTACAATCTAGCATATTAGGCTCCTCGACCGATATGTTCGTATTTTTTTTCGCAAAGACTACAACACCATCATTTTGGTTATATACATTTTTACTACTAAAAGTATTGTAACCTGGCAATAATGGGAGGTTGCTTTGGCTTTTAGATAGCAAACATTCTGTTAGTATGATGATGTCGCAGTCAGTGTCCAATCTTTGAAGGAGGATATGGAAATTATCCATGTTTTTATTTATACTACGAATGTTCTGTGTTAAAATAGTAAGAGAGTTCGCAGGTTTGAAGAGATATTCTTTGCACATATCAATTTCACATATTTTTGCCACTGATAAACTGACAGCATCGATTTCATTACTTAACTTATCCATATTATTCAACAGAAATAATAACAATATTTAAAAAATATATATATATAAACTAAACTTAAACTTATTAGTAACTTATAAATTAGGGCAAAAAGAATTAAGGTAAAAGGCGGCGCTCTTAGGCGCCCTCATTATAATCTATGGAATTAATATACCTATTTTCAGCCATTTTCCTAGCCGGGCATTCGGGGTCACCTGTTTTATGGTCGCTCGGTTTTTTAAAACGCAGGCACGTTGCACACTTTGCTGGATCAGTTTTCTTAATGCAAGCATTTGACTGATGTCCTAATTCACCACAATGTCCACACGTGTCGATTGTTTCCCGGCAAGTTCTTGCAGCGTGTCCATACTGTTGGCATTTGAAGCATCTGGTCACAAGTGTGAAGTCTCGAACTGGGCGACGTCCAATTTATGAAGACTTGCTCCTGGTTGATAAGTGCCTTTCTGATGCCAGCTGGCACTTCCAAAATAAAGTTGCATGAAAGTGCTTGTTTTTTACCCGATTTATGACTTAGTTTTATAGAGGAACAAAAAAGATTCCCGCGTTAAGTTAGGGATCTTATCGGCTAAATTTTGTTCAAAAATGCAGTCAAAGACTTCTCGTTCGCTAAGGGCGGTAGGTATTCCTAAGACTATAATCCTTGGTCTTCTTTTATGGGGCTCTTCCACCTTTAGTCCGGAACTACCAAGCTGGGTAGATTTTTTTAACTTCTCAATGTCCTCCTTTGAATCAATGTTGATAATAACGCCTCCATTTTTAGTTTTTCGTAGTCCTCTTACGTGTAGTTTCAATTTTTCGGGGCATATAATTTTCTGGACAAGAGATTTTGTGTCTTCACTTGTTTTTAATTTATTTTCAGGGTAAATTGCTATGGAACTGAAAGTATTGGGGCGCAAGTAATTATTTTTGGTAGTTTTAACCATATCAGCAAAGGACATTTTTTCTGTAGATGGTTTGGCACAGCTTTCTTGAATCGTTTCCTTGAGAGATTTTCTAAAATCATTTAGGCATTCCATTAGGTCTTGTTTTTCTCTCAGTGCTTCAAGAGAGGTGTGCATTAAAATAGCCTTTTGCTTCAAAGATTGGTAGTAAACTGCCATCTGAGAGGCTGCATTACCGACCTTGCGCGATAGGGAATTAATTCTCAGCTTTTGTTCAGAGTTCAGTTTTCCTTCCTGTGCAATATGGCAAACTTCATTTAGACACTGCTCGATTGAGGTCATCCAATTTTTTATGTCACTGGTGGCTAAAAATTCAATGGGGTCTGCAGCATCCTGGTGTGGTGGTTGAGGCGTGCTGGGCGGACTCCGAGATGTAATGGTGCTCCGATTGAAAGGACTATTTTCGTATGTATTAGACATGTTTTATATCAAATGTTTTTCATTATAATTTGTTATTCGTTAAATCACAACTCAACAGAAATTTTTCAATAGTTTATCTAGGTCACAGTTTTATTGAAAATATTTAAACACTTGTATTGCTGATAGGCACGACTGCTCGATTCGAGCTCCGTAAGCGAATATCATAGTATAATTATAGTATTATGCAGGAGTATATTTTTGCATATTTGATAACATTACGTTTGTAGAAAATGCTGTGAGCATTAAGCATGCGCTGTTTACCTATTACTAAATGTGTATTTTGTTTATGAACCAAATAAATAAATTATTAAAAGATGATGGTTAACCAAATAAATAAAATATCCTCGTACCCAGTAAAACAGTCTCCGATTCTCTGCACTCACCATACTAACATAGCAGTATTATGTTATTTCACGCTGGTATTCCATGAGAGCATGATCCTTTCCCGGCCTGACCGATCCATTCGTGCTACGACCGTAATATAACTAAAACTTTTTTATTAAAAGTTTAATGTTCCTCTATTCATTAATGTAACAAACAAAACAAAATATATATTGATTGTCAATCAACAAATAATACTCGTATATTATCGAAATCAGCCAAGCGGACATCGTTATCTTATTTCAATACACTCGCACATTTCGCTATACATTTCTCCATCACTTATGTGAATCGGTATCTCGTATTCAGATATCAGACGGCATCCAGCTGCTACGATACCGCATGCCAACGGATGTGTTCGACGACCCGTCACACAATCCCACAAACCAGTGCTACTGCGAGGTGGACACCGGGGTCTGTCCGCCGAAAGGCGTTATCAATGTAACGGCTTGTGCTATGGGTAAATGATATTTGAGTTTTTGTTTTCTTATTATCACTAGTCTCATAGATAATTCCTAATTAGCATTACTAAGATCTGTTTCATTAACAATACAAGTCATTAACTGCTGGCAGGACAACGCTCCACTTGAATATTGTTTTGTTTAATAAAGATAGTAATAATGTAAAGGTTGCCCGTCTATAATCTATTTTTTTAATATAGTACACTTTCAGACTAACAAAGAAAGAAAGACGTACCGCTGCTTGTATTTTAAGTGACACAAAAACCCATTCGAAAGTTTAATTTCCAAAGCCTACGTATAAATTGCAAGCTTTTCAATTTCTAAATCTTATATTTACAAACGGATTGAAGTGCAGTCTAGGAGCAAGAGAAAATATGGACGGAACGCACGTACATTTCGATCGACGTAAAGACCAAGCTCCACTTATTGACTCACACCCACTTATGCACTCATCGTTCTCCTTCCTTTATCAACGCTTAAAGGCCCACTGCTGAATGCGAAATGTTTTTAAATGTAATGTTCACATGAGTACGTGTTCTTACAATAAGTTGAACATTGTCTTTGCGTCACTCGAAATTTGCGCGCGTTTCGTCTGACTTCCTTTTTTAGGGTTCCGTAGTCAACTAGGAACCCTTATAGTTTCGCCATGTCTGTCTGTCCGTCTGTCCGTCCTCGCTTAATCTCCATGACCGTTAGCACTAGAAAGCTGAAATTTGGTACCAATATGTGTATCAATAACGCCGACAAAGTGGTAAAGTAAAAATTGGAAAAAAATGTTTTATTAGGGTAGCCCCAATATATGTAAAGTGGGAAGTGATTTTTTTTTAATTTCAACCCTAACGTGTGATATATTGCTGGAAAGGTATTTAAAAATGAATAAGGGTTTACTAAGATCATTTTTTGATAATGTCAATAATTTCGGAAATAATCGCTCCAAAAGTAAAAAACAATGTGTCCCCCCCCCTCTAACTTTTGAACCATAAGTTTAGAAAATATGAAAAAAATCTGTAAAGTAGAACTTTATAAGGCCTTTCTAGGAAAATTATTTTGAACTTGAATGGAAAGTCGGAGCGCTTACCGCGGAGCGTGCAATATTGCACGCTCCATGTTCGCGCACGTACCCACTACCGGGAGCAGTTGCAGGAGCGGGGAGCGCTGCTGGAGCGTGAACATAATGGATACCCACCTTTAAACTCATAAGTGGGAACACTTATTGTGACGGACGGGAAACTACGGAACCCTACACTGAGCGTGGCCCGACACGCTCTTGGCCGGTTTTTGCTCTTAGATTGCACTTAAATCCATTTGTAAATTTAAAGTTTAAACATTAATAACCTTAAAATTCGTATGTAAACTTTGAAAATTTCACTAGTATCTTCATGGCAACAATAAATTTAAAATATACACTGTAATAGAGCCGTGGTGGCACTGCTCTCTCTCCCCCCCCTCACTCTCTCTCTAAGCCCTCGCTGTAAATTTCACAGTACGCGAAAAACACGAGTTCGATTCCCGCCGGCATCAATGAAACTGGTAATTGCAATTTAAGTGCTGATTTACATGTGCTCGGCACTAAAGGAAAACATCGTGAGGAAACTTGCATGTCTAAGAAATAAGATGAAAATATTTTGAAGATATGTGAAGTCCACCAACACGCATTGGAGAAGCGTGGCGGACATTTCCTTGCCCTAAAACCCTCTAAGAAGTAAGAGGAGTCCTATACCCAGTCTATACCCAGAACGTATATACTCGTAGGCTATAACTTTAACTTTATACTCTGTAGTACACGGCCTGTATGTGTACGAGTACATCGCTGATTCTCCGAAATTTTATTTCAATGAATAACTTTTAATTTTATAAGGATTTCAAAAGGTGTGCCAAAAGTTTGTTTCTATTTTATTTTTAATTTCATACGAATGACTAGTTACATGATAACGTTAAGTGAAATTATTTTAAATCAACATAAAAAATACTGCCCATTATGTTTTTTTTGTTCGTTATTCTCACTAGCAGCTTTGGGTGACAAACGAGCACACCTGATGGTAGGTGGATGCTGTGGCCCATAGACATCCACATTAATCCTCAAGTAAGGATCAAAATGCGTTGTCGCCCCTGAGGACTAAGATGGAACACCTCGTTTTCAGTAAAAAAGATTCCGGTTCTCTCCACTCACCATACGAAACACAACAGCATTACGCTGCTATTTTACGCTGGTATTCTGTGAGAGCGTGGTCCCGCCCTGGTCAAGCCATTACCACTTAAAAAAATAACATTTAAAATATGTGTATTCGTATAAAATTTGATTAATTCGTAGACATTTATTGTTGTCTGTCTTTAAATCCACTGCTGGGACAAGCTATTAACTGGTAATCATTTCATTAAAAAAAGCTCATACTCCCATATTGAGCAGGAGCTGGCCCTAACCTAAACCCTACGAGGATTTCCAATGCTGCAATTAGGTTAGAGACAAAGAAGGTTACACTTATTGTTTTTAAAACAAAAAATCACATTCTATAAAGATCGCATTTTTCTAACTACATATCAGTAACATTGTAGTACTTCATTACAGGTGCTCCAGCCCTCGTTTCATTCCCACACTTCTATCTCGGTGACCCAATACTCAGAGAGCAAGTGACTGGACTAAAACCTGATCCTGAAAAACATCAAACATTCCTGGACATTCATCCGACACTTGGCATTGCTCTTAGTGGAAAATCAAGGTGCGTATCTGGATTATAGGATTATGTGATATCACATGATATCTAATGACTTTGTACGTATTATCAAAGAATTTATTATTAGAGTTCTGTTTACGTATAACAGTATGTATGCAAGTATAAGTTAATTTCTTGTTAATTTATTACTATAACAGCCTATCAGTAGTTCACTGCTCAACATATGTCTCCCACATAGTTTGCCCCATATGAGGCCATATGCCATATGCCCCATATAGAGAATTACACCTTAGTTGTCACGTTTGGCAAAGTTGACAGTTGTTTATTATTTTGAGTTGTTGTTATTTTGATTGTTCTGGTGTAAGTTTCCCTCTCCTCTTACAACACCTACGGTATAATACCGTTGCGTTATGGGTTGGTGGTAGTCGTATTGTCTTACGCTGATACTACATAGACTTTCTTGTTAGCACTGAAATAGTATATCCAAACAAAAGTTTCTTATACCCGCTTTTAGTAATATTTACTTTTAAAACAACATAAACACAAAATTACGTAATTTTTTGTTTGCTCGATATTTTTAATTGTTTAACTTGTTTATTTCAGCCTCCAATTGAACATTCAAGTAAGGAAAACCCCTATGTTCACTTCGCTCGGGTTCTTAGAAGAAGGTCTAATTCTTCCTATAGCATGGATAGAAATGGTGCGTTATAAAATATATTCACTAAAAGATTTCTTTATTTTGTATTAAATATTAACAGCTGCGGCTGAAGTACTCAATTTAAGAAGGCTATGAATGCGTTGACATCCATAAAAATTATGGCAGGCAACGGTTAATAAATTCTAGGCTATTCAGATATATTCACACGGTTACCAGATGATCAGGATTTAACTGGATTTTGGTCAAATGTTATATTATCTCTAGACTTTCGACATAGCTAATACTAAAACTCCTTTCAAATTACATTTATAACGTTCTAGTAAGTGTGTTATGAACAATTTAGGAATAAAATGGGGGCAGCCCAGACGCTTGCAACCACACAATATACAAACTGACACCAGGCAGCAGCGTCAAGAGTACAAGAGAGCAAATTCAGACAAATCCTCGTTATAATTAGAGAGGCCCTTATCCAACAGTGAATTATTAAGGACTGATTTAGAATCAGATTTTTTTGCACCAACAACTCCAAAAGAAATTTGGAAACTTTCTCTCCAGACATCCTAGATTTTCGATCTGGTAACCCTAGCTTCGCATCAATCTGATGTATTCCTAGGTGATTTCAAACGTTTTAAAAATTATCAGAAGCTATCAACCCCAAAGACCTCTGACTCGTCCTAATATACTTATATCCGATACGAATCTTATTCAATAGGATCGAAGGTAAGCTCGGATGCAGTGTCAAATTTTTGGAGACAATCAACACCCATCCAGATCAGAAAACCAACTATTTATATCATTGCACAAATATTGGCTCCTACTGAGATCTATGCTAGGACCCACGACATTATAAACATAAACTCTGATCATTGGACGTAACCGCGTCTCTAACGCAATATTCAAATGTTTTTTTGAAATTTTATTATTATTTAAAAGTTAGTAAAAAAAATTTTAAGTTCTACTGTTTTATTTCAGAGTGTTGAAGATTTACCGGACAGTCTTAAATCATTAGTATACCATGGTACATACTCAACAGCAGCGGTGCAGTTAGGGCTTACAGTGTTCTGCATTTTAACTCTAATTGTCTCAAGCACCTGCCTCTTAATAATGTTCGTGCGCAGAAGACAGAAGCCTTGCGCAACCATAAGAAAGTTACCTGGAGAAACAGAACTTAAGACTCAACTATCGTGAGAATAAAGAACAATTTAGGTTAAAGTGACTTTGAAAATGAAGAAATATGTATATTGTGCTGACGTTCATACGACAATTATTTTTAAAGCTATTATTAAAGCGTTGCACGGTGGTTACAAAAATTTCATACTAATACAATTATTATTCAATAAATACCTGCCGCAATTTTCAAACTGGTTAATATGGAAATAGGAATGTTAAATAACTAAATACTGCAAAAACAAAAACAAAACAGATTTAAAAAACAAAGGCATTAAATTATTAGACCAACGTTAATACATAAACTTTGGTACCTTTTTAATTACCCCGTGTATGGTCGAATCGGGAAATTAAGCATTAAGAATTAAAAAAAAACTTTCTTTCTCAACCAATGAATGGCATACTAAATATTACTAAAATAAATTTATTTCCACTTTGTTCCCTCACAACGGAAACGTCAAATTCTATGCAAAGGAAATGGAGTCCCACACTACCAGACCATTTTTACTTAGCGACAACGAGTATAAATATTGGTTTATCGACAATGTTTAGCGCAGTATGCGACATCTTTTTTATTACTTGAAAACAATTTATCATCATGAAAATTTGATCACCTAATGGAGACTAGATTCTTACCTATATTTTCGATAACACACATTATCAAAAGCCTCTTACAACGACTTAGAACTGTCAACTATTATATGACGGTGTACTATTGTGTTCTTCGAATATATAATTATATAATATGAATGGATTTAATCCATATCAGTCTATAAAAGTCCACTACTTAACATAGGCCACTCCCATTCGTTGCCTCATAGGGATCCTTTGCCATAGTTGCCACGCTTGACGAGCGGATTGGCAACCGTAGTTTTTAATAAGTACCGTAGTTTTTAGTAAGTTTTTAATAAGTTCTGAGTTATTGTCAGTTTTAGTCTCCCTCTGTCGCCACGCACATGGTCAAATCAAATAAAACTATTATTTAATGCATACGACATCCACTTGGTATGCCAAGAATATTTGCATCGCAAATCGCAATCGTATCCCTCGATTTATGTGTTTTTAATTTGGAAATAATTGACACCGAGGACAATGGCGAAAAAGTTGTTGATATAATTATTACGCGTCTACTTATGGTGAATTATAAATATCAAAAAATTATTTACTATGTTTTATCTAATCAAGCTTATGGCGTTTCGAAGTCTGAGAAAAAATCATCATACCTAATTTAAAACTTAATTGACTAGTTGTTGTGGCAAATTGTTGATGAAATTATTAAGCGTTTATTTATGACACCATTACAGATATCAATAAAATAATTTACTGTGTATTATCTAATCAAGCTTATGGTCATGGAGTATAGAGGTAAGGAGAACAATCTCTTATAGGAGAATAGTTGAAAATGTGTCCATCCGTATGCAGTAAATAACAGTTCAAAAACTCTCCACAACAGCGCTCGAGTAGCTACAGGCTGTGATAAATCGCCGTAAAATACGTTGAGGGTGATTTTGAAAGCAATAAAATAATTATTGTAATAAGAACTATGGTGATGCAATAAAAAAAATTATAAAAAGTTCTTTAAAAATTAGACTAGCTACAGTGCTGCCACCCTTATTTAACGCTTTCCTGCGGACACTTTTTTATACAGATTCTGTACTCCTTACCTCTACGCTCCATACTTATGGCGTACGGAAGTCTGGAAAAAAATCATATTTAAACCTAAATTGACTAGTTTTTGTAGTTGTTACGATTCAACAATTATGGAAGACAAAGGTCTTATAACACACAGTCTAGTCTGATGTGTATTTTATTCACAAAACCCTTCTCAATACACTTACGCGTTATTTTGGGATTCCCTCTATGGTGGTCATTTTTCTATATAAGGATAATTGAAAATTATAGTGACTCGTTGTTGTTGTTGTAACGATTTGTCAATTAAAGCAGGCAAAGGTTATGCCATACAGTCTAGTCTGATGTAAATTTGTTCAAAGTGGTATATCTTTAATTCCTGACTTCCTGCAGTAGTATGACTGAAGAAAAAATTGTTTAAAATTTCAAACTTTGTATTTTTACATATTTTTCATTTGTAGACGCAAGAAAAAAAATTTTAACAAGAATTTGATTGAGAGTTCACCATTGTCTTTAAGTATCAAAAAATTGTAGCGTTAGCTAAAAAGCTCCAAATATTTTAATGTCTTTGCTACTTACTACTACCACTGATATTCCTTGAATCTCTACTTGTTGCAACTTCACTAATTATTTTTACACCACACGTCTCGTATGGATGTCTGTTCATAAGTTTTCAAATGTAAATATTATACAAAACTTGTGTTTCTGTAAATATTTAACGTCTATAGTCCTAGTCCAAAGACTCTACTTGCTTGTTAAAATACCTAAATGTTACTGAAATTACATTCCTCATCTACTTATTAATTTAGAATAATACATACAAAGATCTTAAATAACTTATTTTACGGTATATTAATAAATTGTTAAAATAAAACTTTTTCACTTTTATTTCAACGTTATCATCATTACTATAGCCTATCTCTTTATCCAATAAATAAAAACAAAACCACTGCGAGTGTTATTATCTCATACAAGGATATTTGCAATAGTTGCCTCACTTGGCAGGCGGGTCAGCAATCGCAGTATTTTACTCATGAAGGTTAGAGAACAGGAGAACGATCACTACGTACTAAAGCATAGCCCGCCTGTCCTTGATAATTGTGGAATACATAGCGGCGCTGACGTCGGTGAGAAGTGACTGCGAAGTTAGCTGTTTATTGTTTATTGTATGCCGACCTAATTAGTGCATGCCCATAAAGTATGACATTGACAGGTACTGTCTGTACTACTAAGAAATTCAGGACTTCATAGGCGTGATTTTTATTGACAGCTGTCGCTATCTTTTATGAACCATAAGTTAGTTGAATACTGTACAAATTTACATTTCATTTTTTCGTAGAAAATTTTCATGCTCCGTAATTTTGTAATTTTTGACAAAAAGAAACATTAAAAAATGGAGAAATATTTTATTGTACGTGGATTTGCAAGTGGTTGAGCATCTGATCGGAAAAATAGACTGAAAATGACTTTTATTGACTGCACTTAGTGATCGCAGCGCCTCACTGATGGTGTCCATATTTCTGGGACACTATTTTCTACGGCGATCGTTCTCCTGTTCTCAAACCTTCATGATTTTACTATAAGTTGTCATTATGCCGGTGACCCTCTCCTAGTGGTAGATTCAGAGTTGCTACCTCAAAAATTATCTTGTCACTAGATCCAGAGTTAAATGTCGCCATATTTTGGAAATTTGGATTTAAGAAAAACTACTAGTTCTCGCTATTTTTTAATTAAAATTAAGTACTTCACATGTATTACATGTATAAAATTAAAAAATAAGTTATTAGAAGTAGGATTTTTCACCGACACATTTTTTCATATATTGAGTTTGAATATTTTTTCCATACATTGAAAAAATAAGTCATTAATTTTTGCACGTTTTATCATTCCGTCGGCACACCGATAAATATGTGATGTCAAAAGAGGCTTCCAAATAAGAATCTAAAATAAAATTAGGAAAACAACCATTCTGACTTTTCGAAAATCTTACTTTATACACGTAGGACTTTCGAAAAGTCAAGTCATGTCGCCAAAACGAGACCACTGTGTGATGGTACGGTACGATGTACACACAGCCAACAGTTCAGCTAGTGGTAGAGCCACGCGGCAGCTTTGCTGTTGCACGTATGGGCCGGCTCAAACCGGGGTGGTACCACGACCTCACAGAATACTGGCGTGAAAGCTCTGCTCCCGCGTTTCGTCTGGTTAGTTGTGACCGGAGGCCCAAATCCCCCCCCCCCCATCAACATGGTAGCGGAATTAAAATTTAAACTACCCCAGGAGCACACGGTACCAGCACCAGCATATTCGCTAAACGATAAAAAAGTATCGCTAAGGGCTCTGAAAAATCACCAGATCTGGTGACAAAATCACCAAACTGGCAACACAGGGCAGATTCCCCTTCTTCTGTGTGTGGACTGGTCCCTCTGTCACCACTAGCTTGCTACATATTTATTTATCTATGGTCACCACTTAAGACACCGACGGAATATTGGGTAGTTGATTCCTTTACGCCGCCACAAAACGAAAACGTACATACTTGCATATTGTCGGCTTATAATGAAGTCTGTGTCAATGATGAAAAAGCTGAAAAAATCGTATGTTTTTTTTTTATCTACTGTAGCAGCAGGCCTTCAGTCAAAATCTTTAGTATATGTCGGCACCTGCGCCGTTGCACGTGCAGCAGCGCCTCTGTGGCTAGTCGGAATTATTGTAAACAACACGTGCACCGCACACCTACACGTTGCACCTGCAGTGGCGCTCGTGTGGCTACTTGTCTCGATTGTATAAAACGGACGGAGTGGCCGCCGTTAAAGCAGTCTTGGCTCTGGCGTGTCTCGGTGCAATTATTGTATCCCGCTACTAGCTCATCCTCGAGTCTTTGGATAATTAATTCGTGGAAACGAATTAATTATTATTCTCAGCTATTAAGAGCGCATATTCAAATATGTCCAAGTCGAAATCTACGCGATCGCTTTGGAACGGCGTAATAATGACGCACACTACAATGTTATCTCTGTGTGCGTGTCAGTGCGAGCGTGAGGCTATAATAGTTGCCTAACGACGACTACGAATCACTTTGATTATATACCTGTCTTTGATACTATTGGAACTAAAATAATAAAAAAAATTATTTCTATATAATGGCTTATATAGTGTATAGAAATCGGAGGCTAATATGTGGAAATTGTTTTATTCTTTTAGTAAATTGAAGTCGGCTTTACATTTTCACCCTATTGAGTATATTATAATATGTATATGTTCTAATTGAAAAATATGTATTGTATAAAATATATATCATTTGATAAACTTTTATTCTGTTTCATAATGTAAACATAATTCATCACAAACTAACAATTTCATTAGTGTCGGCGGGGAGTAGTGTTGCCAGG